CTGCTTGTTTATACCATCTGCCCCTTGGGGGTAAACACCACTTTGCTTTCCACTGTTGTTTCACTGCTATCATTTAGAGCAGCAGTCCCCAACCTTTTTTGGCACCAGGGACTGGTGCTCCTATGAGAATCTAATGCCTAATGATCAGATGGAGCTAAGGTGGTGATGCTAGCGCTGAGGAGCGACTGCAAATACAGATGAAGCTTTTCTTGCTTTCCCACCACTCACCTCCTGCTGTGCGGCCCAGTTCCTAACAGACCACAGATTGGTATTGGTCTGCTGCTTGGAGGTTGGGGACCCCAGATTTAGAGTACTCCATAAACTAGATTTGAGCTACAAGTATACAACTAAGAAAAATAGCCGCTACGGTGCCACCCAGAGAAAGAAAAGTTCAGGTAGGACAGGTAGAATATGCACCCAGCAAAACAGAATTACCAACAGAGCTCACCCTCACCTTTACCAATGCATTACACTCCATTGCCTGGACTTCCAACTGCTAGCATCTGCATTTCTTTGCCTAAGGGCTTTTTCTGGCCACTAGAGCCTGCCTTGCTGCCCATGTGGTAGGCTGGGGTATAGGCACCAGGAGCAGCCCTCAAACAATGGCTGATTTTAAAGCTATTATGTAAATATTTCATCTTCCTCACCCCTTCAGTGGTATAACTCTAAGGTGTGTGTTTTATACTCTTGTCCAAAGTTCTCCAGCAGGATTAGTTCCAGTTACCCACAATGCTAACTTCCTTGATATTAATCTTTTTATTGGCTTTCCTCTCTTCCTTGAGTCACTTCCCTTTTCTGCTACCCATCTTTCCCAGGATCACCTCCCACTTGCACTTAAATCGTTGTCTCAGGGCCTTCTTCTTCAGAAACCCAAACTAGACTTTACAGTGCCAAGAGGGATTGAATAAAACAAATGGAATACTCCAGCCTGTTAAACCCAGGATACTTCTAGGTTGGCCTGTGTGAATGAAAGAGGGGCTATGTAATAAACTTGACAAACTTAGAGGGCCACGTGCCAGCCTGACAAGCTCATTGACCAGAAGTAACCACACAGGATGATCTGATCACAAATTCCTAACTGGGCAGGTAATAGCAGATAGTCACGTCCCAGGTCTGTAACTTCCTTAGCAAAGGTCAATCTTTACCTAAAGTGAGCTCTGTCCATTGTTCGTATGCATCTAGGATAATATATCTTTAAAATATCAGAGTAAATTTCTTTTCCTGTTCCTTAAAGTCACAACTGAGGGCACCGGAACATGAGACCACAGAACCCCTCATTGTTATCCTGTTCCTTGCATACTGTCTTTATGTGCTGTAAATGTGAATTACTAACTATCCTGTACCCACCAATATAAAAGAAGTATGTGTTTCTCCATTTGTCTTTTATCCAGTCCTAGAGCTTTCCCCACTATGCTTTCTCCTGTCTCCTTTTCTACCATGAATGGATTTCATGCACCTCTTTACATTTTCTCTTTTGATTCTAATGTATAAAATAAGCTGCAAAACTGCCATTCTTGGGAGTATCTGAGAGCTTGCTCCATGGTATATGTTGTCAGTTTGGCTCAAATAAACTCATAAAAATTTCTTACGTAGACACCCCGAAGGATCTTGTCTTTATGGAATTTCACCAGCTGAAAAGAATGTCCTACAGATACTGATGCCATGTGTTCCCAACCAACAGCCCAGCCAGATCATCCTACAGAGACGCTCTCAGGAAATGAGCCTCATCAACATGCTGGGAGCTTCCAATCAGTCTTTATAGCACTTAACTCATTTTTTAGTTCCCTATTGTTGAGTGAATACAGGCATACCTTGGAGATATTATGAATTTGGTTCTAGACCACTGTCATAAAAGAGTGTTGCAGTAAAGTGAGCAGTAATCTTTTTGCTGGTGTGCATGTAGGGTCTTGTCTTCAATTTGTAAAAACAACAACCAAAAAAAAAAAAAAAATGCAACACCTATGAAGCTCAATAAAGCTAAGTGCAATAAAAGCAAACAAGGTATGCCTGTAGTTGAGGAACACCAGAAAACTTCTAACATGATAGACGGAGATCTAATTAATAGCAAAATGCAGCTGAGAGGAATGTGAGGCTATTCAGGAAGAGAACTTTAAAAATGTATTAATATCCTCATAGAGATGGGAAAATTTATGAAGGCTATGACACTACAACAGAGATATTTGAAGAACAAAAGAGAACTCTAGAAAAGTAAAACTGGATAAGATGGCTGGCTAGAAGATAAATTTGAGGAATTCTCCAATAAAGAGCAAAAAGAAAGGAAACAGGGTAAAATAGATAACAGGGCTCTTACATAAAGTTTGGGCTTGATCATACATCAGAAGCTGAAAAAATGTAACCTGTTCATATGTGAACAAAACCAAACAAAATGTGGTGGACAGTCGTACAGGCCAAGAATGGAGGCAGAGGTACTTGGTTTGGCAGCTCTTGCACTAGTGAGGAGAAATAACGTGAACCTGATGTAAAAGAGGGCAATTGGACAGAAATTAAGAGAAACAATGGGACATTAAATGATAGAACGGACTAAACTTGTGACCAAGGGGTGTGTGTGTGTGGGTGTAGGGGGGATGTGAGTCTGACGTAAAAAGAGGAAGTAGGATCTCAGATGAGGAGTGAATGAGGACTAGCAGGTTGGAGTGAGTTGAGAGTGTAGAGGCAGAATGCAGATTCCCGAATTCAAGTTCAGTCAATATCTTCCAAGATCTCATTTCGTGTCAGATCCTGGGATAAAGCGCTTGTCTTCACCTACGGGGTTGGGTGCCTGAGAAGGGACAGAGGCGAGCCACTCCCAAAATGACAGCCCTCTTCAGGAGTTTGTAGTGAAAGGAGGCACAGCCCTTGGCTTGGAGGCAGTGGGGCGGCTGCGGGTCGGCAGGATATTCGGTGACAGAAATGGTGAAGGCACGCTTGCGCAGAGCGGAACGCGCCCGCGAGGTCAGCGGTGGAGAGGAAGGAGAGACTACTCAGTCACAGAGGACGTACAGGCCACGCCCAAGTCCTCGTGTTAGTCTCGGGGTCTATAGGGAAGACCTGAGCCCTCTAGACTTCCTCGTAGCGCAAAGGAGTCCTGGTGCGCGTGCGCGTACCCACCCCAGGGCTCCGTCAAAGGCGGCGGGAAGTTGGTTTTCTGAGTAGCAACTGAGTCCCTTGAAGACGGATTGGAGACGACGGACCAATAAGCAAACGCCTCATTGGCCCATCGTGCTCAGGCTCTCGATTCTCCAGCTTCCCATTGGGCTGTTCAAGCAGAACAGGGGCGTTAAGTCCCGGGGCTCCGCCCCGCGCCTCGGCCCAGCCTCGGGGGGTCCAGGGCTGAGGGTGCGGGAAGGAAGTGCGCGGGTCTCGCCCCTTCCCCCGCTGGTCCTTGGAGCCGCCGCCCGCTCTCCGGCGCGCCGGAGTCTCCGTGCCGTACCCTCGGTCCCCGGCCGCGCGGAGCCGGGATGCACTGCTCCTGCTGTGGGTCCTCATCATGGAGACCAAACGGGTGGAGATTCCCGGCAGCGTCCTGGACGATCTCTGCAGGTACCGCGCCGCGCCGGCCCTTGTCCCCGTGCTCGGATGAGACGACTGCAGAGGCCTCCGCGCCTGCTCCCGCCGCCCACATCCTTATCCTCGCTTTCCGGTCCCGCCGCTGCTCCCTTTCCCGCGGCGACCCTTTTCTGGGCCGACACCACCCCTCTTTTTCCGCCGCAGCCTCCCTGTTTCTCACGCCCCTTCCATCCTTCGCGGAGCTCTGGGATTTCCCCATTTTTTTAGTTCCGCAGCTGGTTCGCTTTCCCGCAAGCGAAGCCGCTTCGCCGAAACCTGTGTCGTTAGCGTTTTTCGGCCGCCCCCTCCCCTTCCCATTACTTTTTCTGTCTCTCTGACTTTTATAGACCGTTTTCCCCCTTCTCCCTTCATTTCGTTCGCTACTACTGTCATAAGACCCCAGGGTCTTAAACTTTAGAATTCCAGTTCCCCGGACCTACGCAGGGAGCAGTTTTCAAACGTACCCCTTTTCTCGTGGCATTTTCCGTAAATTGCTATAAAGAATTACTCTGTTGTTCATCTCCAAACTTATCATTGGAAGGAGAAAACAAAATCGAGTTGCTCTTTTCATCCTTTAATTATCCTTCTTAAAGGAAATTCTTAACCTCAGGGTTTTAATTCGGTATACATTTACAGGAGAAATCTTCATTCTTTCCTCTTGTCAGTTATGATTCCAGGTAGCCAAAAGTGTAAAATAAACTTAAAATGTTTTTTTTTTTTTTTTCTCGGAGCAAAAGTTTTGGACAGTAATACCCTGAGTTGTTGTTGCCAGGTATAAGTGGGTTGTGAAATAAATTATTTCAATTAAAAGCTCTGTTAAAATAACATCTTTTACAGTTGACGTGTTTTTATGTCTAAAAGTCTGTGTCTCCTTCACGCTTTTTTTTTTTAAATGGGAAAAAACTAATATTTGTGAGATTACTACTGTGTGCCAGACACTGAGCTCTCCCTTATCTTTATTTAATCCTCGAAACAACCCTATTTGGTAGGTGCAGTTACTTCTATTTTCATCTGACAGACTCTTAGAGGTTGTAATTTGCAAGGTAACATTCATTGTAATTCAGAAAATCAAGATTTGAAACCTAGGCCTTTTTCTCTACAGTGCCTGTGCTTTTTCTCCTATGCCAGGTGCATGCAATAGGAAATCAAGTCTAACATTTTAAACTTCACAAAAGAAGAGTACATGTAGATAAGTAAATAGAATAGTTTTGCAACTAACAAGAATTATTGTCACTCTGTTTCTTTGGTGGACATATGATTGTAATATTTGGAATATGATAGATTCGAATGAGCCATTTAAAAGGCACTTTTGATTCCAAACATTTTAAGAAAAGAAAGATTTGATATATGTATGTCTGTATGGCTCAATGACTAGAAAAAGTGTGGCAAAAGTGGGATTATGATTTTTACCATGTTTTCAAGATTTTTAAAAGGATGTGCATTTATAGTTAGAAAAATATTTGGAAAGGTGAGCAATAATTATGTATGGATTCATAGAGATACAGGTTTATTTAGAAAAAGATGGATAATTATACGTTTTATGGGAATCTAAACTTCCTACTACTATTGGATTTATTTTGTATATTACAGAGGATTACATCATTTAAAGAAATATCAACCATTATAATTGATTTTACGTGTGGAACCTCTTTACACACAAAGTAATTGTTGTGTTTGTAAACACTATGTTAAACATCTGTTGAGTGTTAAATAATGATTCTTGGTTTTCCAGTGAGTGTATTTTTGTTCCTTTAAGAATTTTTTTGCTATTGTTTTGGCTCTGTAAGGATAATGTGTTTAAAGGTTGAGGCTAGCTATCTTGATTAATAACGAAACCAAATAGTGATTTCTTTAAAAAATAAAAATAATTTTCAATTACAGTTGACAGACAGTATGATATTATTTTCAGGTGTACATCATAGTGATTTGACATTTATAACTTACAAAGTGATCACCTAGATAAGTCTACTAGCCATCTGACACCATACATAGTTATAACAATATTATTGACTATAATCCCTGTGCCGTACTTTACATCCCAGTGACTGCCAAGTAACCATTTCTTAAAACTTTAGGTTTTAAAAGTAATGCTGTTTTTAAGTTAATATTTGTAATATCTTTGTTGATTAATTGATTTTTATTAACAATTCAGGCTTTTGATTGTGGGCCTTTTCAGAAATTTTTACACTTAGAATTTATGTTTAATTTCTATAAGAATGAAGCGTAAGTTGAAAAAGGTTCATTTTTCTTCACTTCTTTGCTCTTTTAAGTACCTTTTGGTTTATGAGTTTGGTCTTGATTCTCGTTACTCCCTTTATATTTTCTCCAGTTCTGCTTATTAGTAGTATATTTAAGAGGTTTTTTGTTGTGTTAATTTGATTTTTGATAAATTACATGTTCCTGCTAATTGTGCCTACTTCAGTTATTGATCATATAAGTTTTGGAGAAAGTTAAAATTTGAGATTGATTTTTGATGTGAAAATTCGAGCAAGAGACTTAAATTTTCAAGATGTACTTCGTAACTGTTAGACTGCTCGTAACCTAAGACATAGACTGTTATTTTTCAAATGGTTTAATATGCAACATTTCATTTACTGAAATACTGTGCAGCCATTAGAAATTTCTAAGGAAATTAGCAAACAGTAAACTGAAAGAAAATCTTTGTGTCTTGAAAAGAAATGTAGTCTACTATTGAGTGTAATAATGTATTTAGTCATTTGATGCCTTTTATTAAAACAAATTTTTAAATGTTTTCTGTATTTATGTTTGTGTGTATGTGTGTGTGTGCACGCGCGCGTATAACTTGACTCCCCGCAAAACTTAACTACAAATATCCTACTGTTGACTCCCCCCAAAACTTAACTACAAATATCCTACTGTTGTATTGGAAGCCTTACCAATAACAATTGACTAGCATATTTTGCAAGTTATACGTGATATATACTGTATTCTTAAAAGGAAGTAAGCTAGAGAAAAGGAAATGTTACTAAAAAAATCATAAGGAAAATACATTTGAAGTATTTATTGGGAAAAAATCTGTGTACAAGTGGTCCTGTGCCATTCAAACCCATGTTGTTCAAGGGTCAACTGTACACCAGACTGATAACACTGATTATTTCTGGGTGGAATGGAATTAGAGAAGAGAAGACTCTAGTCTAAAATGTTCTAGTGAACACAAATTGCTTTATAAAAAAAGTATGTGTATATAAAAAAGGAACTGTGCACCAGGTGATACTTGCCTTTGGTGCACCATGATTTTTGATATTAAAAGTTAAACAGTTTTTAAAATTTTGCTATTTAAATTAGCTTATTAAAGAATTGGAAAGCATGTTTTTAAAGTAAAAACTGAAAATACAGTTTGGTAAGTTGTTTCTCTTTTAAAGAGATGTTTGAAGTATTTTTTAAAAGCCCCTTTAAGAAATAGTGGTGGGGCTACTCTGTTAAAAGGAGAAAGATATTTTCTGGTTACAAATGTTGCTGCTATTTTGGTGGTCTGGTAGGTTCATTATATTGTTCTCATTTTCAGTTTGCCATTTTAGTGTTCAATTCTACTGAAACATTTTTGTACTAATTGGCAATCCTTGTGCTAATATTCTTTCTATCTTGGGGAACATTGAAAATATGACATTTTGTGAGATGGAGAAATTTTCCAATAGCAAATTATTGTGGAAAGCATATTTTTCTGTGTACATATATGTGTATATACATACATACTTTAAAATCTTTAAAACAGTTCAAAAACATGCACAGAATGAAAATTGAAGTGTAATTTTAATGTGCTAAAATCTCCTTTTTCTTAAAGAAGCCAGCTTTTAATTGTTATGAAGGTATACTCATGTCTAAGGTTTAAAAAAATCAAACAGTACAGAGAAATTTATAAATGAAAAACAGCAGTCTCCTGCCCTACCCCTTTCTCAGTTCAGCTCTTCAGTCTAGTACCTGTTTTGTATTGAATTCTGGTGAATACTTTAATATTTAAATATATTTGCACCGATTTCTTGTTTCATCAACTTTAGATATTAGATTGACTATTTAGTTTACCTTGGTAAATACTAGGTGAGGGTTTGGTTTACTGTGCCTGCTGTTGACCTTGGCCTCCTCCCAATATACTTATATCACTATTTTAAATTGTTACATTGGTTACCTTTGGTTATACTGTTGTATGAACTTACAGTATCTCTTGAGTCTGTTTGATAAGGGGAGGCAATTAGTGCCCCATCTTTTCTTCCATTTCTTTCTTACCCAATTCCCTCAGCTATCCAGGCAAACTAAAATAAAAATTAAGATAGATAATATTTATGTTTCATTTTGTAACCTTATGAAGTCTGTTGATTGCAAAAGCTGAACTATAATAACATTTGTTATACAGTATAACTATGTACATATATTTCACTGTAGAGGCAAGGCTACAGTAGCTAAGATTTTGTTTTTTCCATCAGCCCATAGTCACCATACCTTGATAAGGATCTTGAGAATGTCCCAATGAATTCTCTTTTCATACATGCTACAAATTGGTCAAAATGATGCTTTCTTTTAGTTTTTTGTTTGTTTGTTCTGGAGGGGGATTATTCCTTGATTCCTTCGAGATATTCTTGAAATCTTTTAAAAAAAAAATTTTTTTATTGTCTTTCTGTTCACATTTTTTTGGGCCATGATTCTGTTGTACATCTTCTCTCCATCAGCACATCCAAAGTTTCTAGCTGCTCCCTCCCCCCAATCTGCTCCTTTATTATATCCTCAGTTGCACACTAAATTACACCATCTTTTCTACAGAATTCTTTTTTTCCTCCAGAGTGCCCTCTTGGAGACTCCCACCCCCCTAGTCTAGTCTGCCAAACAACTGGTGTACTGGAATTCCCTTTCACAGCTCTCCCAGTGTCTCTCTTCTCTTGAATCTTATGTTTTCATTCTTGTTTTGCTGGTGCACATTTCTAAACTAATTTCCTTTGAGGGGGTTATTAGAAAGTAAACTTCCTTAGTCTTTATATGACTTGACTAATGTGTCTGTTTCTCTTCTCATACTTATGCTTCTAGGTGGCCCAGGGTCCACACTTTGAGTACCAAGGTTCTAGAAGATATTCTCAACATTGTCTTTTCTTGAAGGCCAGTTCTTTAACTTTTTCTTTGTCATGCCCCAGATTTTCCTTAGGTGTTGGTGATTCTTGGTGGTTGTTTTATATGTGTAAGATAAGGCAGTAGAATGGCTTATGGATAGGCTTCTCTTCTATGTGAGTAGATAGAAAGCTGGCTCTGACACTGGGGGACCCTTGAGAACCAGTGTGGGGGAGTTTTGCCTTGTAGGAGAAACTTCTATAAAGAATAAAAGGAGTGAAAGAGTAGACGTTCTTCTATGACATAAACAGACCTTGCTTTCCCTCCCCTTTTTGGTCCTATTTCTTATTCCTATCCTCCAGCTTACCTTTCTTCATTTGGAGCTTTCCTGAATTGGGATGAGGATGGGATTGGATTTGTCTTCATCTTGGGCATTTTTTTTTTTTTTTAACCACCTTTTAGGTTGTGGTTAGTGTCTTCTAGATTTTGTTGAAGTGGGAATTTCTAGTTAAAGATAGTAGATTGAACACAGTCATGTACTCACTATAAAGTAGTGTTTTGTTTTTAAATTTTTAAATGCATAAACCCACAAGGAAAAGAAGAATGGGTGAAGAGATGAGCAACAGAATTTGGAAACTCAAGCAGAAGGAAAAGTGGTATAGACCCGAATGAGAGACTGCTGCAGTAGCATCATTGTTCTTTAGAATAAGAGAATACTTAAAAGTGGCAGAAGTTAATTTATACATCCTGTATACATAACTGAAAACTTCAGCCCTGTCCTCAAGCTCAGCTTCTAGAATTTGACAGCTGGGCTTTTACCCTCCTGGTAGGAGATTAGAAGTTTCTTCTTTAGGTTATTTGACTAGTGGTTCCTCAGATGGCTCAGTCTCATCATCTTCAGTGGTGCCTCATAGTTTGATGAGCCTCCTAGATAACTTTGTGGTCTACCACACAAATATGAACATCTGAAATAGGCCTTTTAACATGAAATATAAAGTTTAAAACTAATAACTTTAAAGATAAAGTTTAAAACACGACTTTATAGTGAGTACATGTTTGTGTTCAACAGGAAAAAAAAGCTGCTGGGAAGAATAAAAATATGCAGTTGGTAGAATACTTAAAAAAAAAAAAAACCCTACATTGATCTTAGGTAGATTTTTACAACCATGAAATGACGCAATAATCTATAAAAGCATAATTTAAACAAGAGCATTTGGAAATTAAAAATATGAGAGCAGGAACACAGAACTCTGTAGATGGCTTGCAAGATAAAGAACTTTTCCCGGAAAATAATAGGGGAAAATCAGATGTAGGAAATACCAGAGAAAGGTAAAGAATCATAAGAGGATCGTCATGAGGTCCTTTAGCACTAAAGGATATGAAATTTCAAATAGTTAAGGTCCATTGAATGTCTGTCTGGTGCCATTGATGAAAAATAGAGACTGAGAAATTTCAGAACACGGGGAACAGAAGGAAGAACCTAGAAGTTTTCAGACAAAAAACAGATCATAGAAAAGATTAAGAATTGGAATGGTTTCGATCTTCTTAACATCAGAATGGGAAGCTGGCCGGGGAGAGCGCTATCTTCAGAATTCTGAAGGAAAATCATTTCCAATCTAGAATTTTTTACCCAACCACATTATCAAGTGTGAGTAAAGAGTAAAGATACTTTCAGATGTAGTACAAGACAGAGTACAAGAAATATGAGATTTAATATAGGATAAAGGCATAGGGAACTATAGGATGCTAGTGAAAGGACAGCATAGGATGATGTGTATCAGATGTAGATGACAACCAGTCCAGATTGGTACAGATCAGAAGGCTCCTGGATAGTCTTCAAGATGAAACTGATGCATCTGAATTAACATCAAAAAAAAATTTTGGGAAACTAGTGGAAGGTCGAATTAGTGATAAATATAGAGAAAATGAAGCAGAGACAATTACAAAACCTTTATTAATTGTGGGAGAACAAGTTTGTACAGGAAAGGAAAGCAGCTTACTACATGGTTTAGTTGTGAATTGCATTTACAGAGTTATAGTACTATAAAGACTGAATACTGTGGTTATCAACCGGGAGTGATTTTACTCCCCTCAGGGAACATTTGGCAATATCTGGACATCATTTTTGCTTGTCAGCACTTGGCAGGGAGTGCTGTTGCCATCTAATGGGCAGAGGCCAGCGGTTCTACTGAACGTCTTACAGTGCACCGGACACCTCCTCTTAACAATTATCTGCTCCAAAATGTCAGTAGTGCAAAACATGACTAACAAAAACTGATATATTTTGAAGAGGATGGAGAGATCAGTAAAGTGTGTAGAACAGGAGCAGAAGTACAGTTAATTATGCATTTTCCATAATGGAAATAGAAAATGCCTCAAACTGAGGAAAATAAGAAATAGCAGACAGGGCTTTTTTAGACATGGCTGTAAGAGGTAAGTTAAATAAAGTGAGATGAAAGAAGGCTAGTTTTTGCAGTGCCTTTTCCCTATATGTACTGCCCACTGCCTAGTCTTTGAGACTTGGGCATTGGTCTTTCTCACAGTTCATTTCACAAAGTTTGTGGTATGTTGTCTGTAGTCTTAATCCAAGCTTTTGCAGCTTGGGGTTTAACCCGAATTCATAAACAATTTCCTGAGGTCATTTTCCCGAACTCCTCCTCTGCTATCTCCCTGGCACCTCTCAGTTCCTTGGATCTTCCCTTTTTGGTCCTATAGCCAAAAGGCCACTCTGTCACACACTTCATGTGAGTCTGCCCATGTCTGGTACCAAGCGACTGGAGTGTTAAAAAACAGTGGAGGTTGGCTCTTCTTTTTTGAGATCACACAGCTCTTGGAATTGGAGAGCAAGGTTCCTGTCCCTCAGTTTTAGCCTCTGTTGTGGGTCCCTGTTATAGACACTGTTGCTGCTGCCACCTGTGTAACCACGATGGTATTGCTTTGGGGCTGGGACATGAGAGAATGGAGAAAAGAAAAAAAGGGGGGACTTTCCCCCGCTGTCTTCGAGTGTTAGGAGTTGCTTTGAATCTCCTTTCTTGATCTGGAGCTCTTTCTCTGTCCTTGCTGGTGCCCACTTCGACCCCCTAGTCCAGCCAGGGGATACTAGAGCATGGAAAATGGTAAATTCACTTTGAATACGTCTTTCCTCCCAAACTTCTCGCTGCTGTTTACTTTTCGCAGTTCTCAAATAGCTGCTCCATGCGTTTTGTCCAGGTTTTACAGCTGCATTTTATGGGAGGGGCAGAGTGGAGTGTGCTCTCTCCATCTTAACAAAAATAGGAACCTGTGTAAACATTGAAAAGAGATAACTATCAGTATGTCATTAACAGTTTATGTCAGATGGTTTACTAGACTATGGCAATAAAAATATGCAAGGATATAGTACATTAGTTCAGGGAACTAATTGGGAAGGGTTTGTGGACAATAATAGTAAAAATCATGCAATTGCTGTAATGGGGTAGGAGTGTGAAAGTGTGTATAAATCTGTTTAGAGGAGTTTGGTATACCTACATAGTAGTGTTTGTAAGTCATGAAGGATGAATCGGAGTTTGCTAGATGGGCAAGAGAAGGGGAGTATAGATAATAGTATGTGGAAGGCAATCGAGTAGGGTTCCAAGAATTAGATATTGCTAGGTATAAAGAACCTCTTAGAGTGACTTAAAAGGTTGTGCAGATGAGCAGCAACCAGCTCTTGAACGCCACATAGAAGAGTTTAGATTTTATATCTTAGGTAATGCTATCAGAGTTTCATGTTACACATTTTATTCTTAGTGTATATGTAGCTTAAGATCCTTTTTATGTAGTTTTTCTATATTGAAATGTAGATTATTGTACATACATTTGTGCTACCATTTACTTATTACTTCCTCTATTGAAATGTAACATTATTTTTATAATTTAAAAGTATTTTGAAATTTGATTTGAAACTTGGAAACCCTCAAGAACATTTAAGTATCATGGCTAGTGAATAGTGTAAGTGATCAAACTGGGTGATACTATTTTAAACATTTAAGAGCAGCTCTAAAAACCTTTTATGTAGTTCAATCTGTCTCAAAAGTCACTAGAAAAAAGTATTACTAAAGATACTATGCAGTAGAAGAAGCAGTGGTTGCTTAATGACTGCTGTAAATCACATTTATTTAGACTTATAAATTCCGACTTGTTTGTTGCACAAGAAAGGGGATTTATTATTTAAAACACATATACATATGTACATATAGCATACATTTATGCTATATGTATACTAAATACCTGTACCCTTCTCCCCCATACGAATGTGCTTGGAAAAGACAATTTAGGATTTTTAAAAGTGAGTATATTTGAAAGTTAGTTTGGAATCAGGTTCTGTAGTTGAGTCTCTTTGGGAAGTATGGTCTATTAATGAGCAGCAGATTTGAATTTTGTAATAAATGTGAAGATTAAGTAGCTATCTAACATCTTTTCTGTTTGATTGTATGAATATATTTGTATATGTTCTTAGAAAATGTTACCAGACATGGGAGGAAATCCTAGCAAAGATTGTTTTTTTGCTCACCTTTACTGTTAGTGGGCTCTTAAGTTTGTTTATCTCTGTACTTGTGAACAGAGGATAAATGACATCTTGAAAAAATTCTGAGTGAAGATACATGTGATATCGTTTTTTTTGTTTGCTTATTTTCAGACTCACCTTCCCTGTAGTAATTTCCCCTAAATTTTGCTTCCTTGATTAGCACTGCTTTTGGTCACTTTTCTATGGTGGTGGGGCACGGATGAAGCAATTAAATAGATTTAAATAAGTTATTTTGGTTTGTAAATATAATTTTTATGTTTTTGTTTTTGACAGCCGATTTATTTTGCATATTCCCAGCGAGGAAAGAGACAATGCTATCCGAGTGTGTTTTCAGATTGAACTTGCCCATTGGTTTTACTTGGATTTCTACATGCAGAACACACCAGGATTACCTCAGTGTGGGATAAGAGACTTTGCTAAAGCTGATATCCTTTTTATTACTATAATGACTGTCTTTCATTCCTGTTAGTAAAATATGTTAGCACAAATTTCCTTTTGCTTGTCTTTGAGATTTATAACCTATTAGATGAAACATACTTGATTCCTAAAGATTGTCAAATATAAATAATAGACACAATTATTAGTATTTTTATGTAGAAGACCCCTTGAAATGTGAACTGATGATTAGAATTATTTGATTTTCTTTTAGTTCAGAAATAGGGATTAAACAGAATTGGAGAGTTGTAAAGGAATAAGGGATATCTCAGGAAGTAAATGAGTTTGAATTGAGCAGAGGGTTCTTACAAGGATATGATAGGAGATGTGAATGGAAGGTACGTGGGGTCGGGGCGGGAGGTTGTGGCTTCTTACATTTGGAGCCAAAGGCCTTTGATTTTTATTCTGTATGTCATTCTTTTTAACCACAAATTGTGTTCAAATGGCCTTGAACCCACAAGTTCAAGTAGTACACTGGAGTGGGAGTAAATGACCTAAATAACCCTCATACTTCCTATAATTTTCTTTGAGCCCCTAGGGCTCAATGAAACAAGGGACCCCCTAGGGCTCTGCAGAAAAATGCGTGAATACTGTTCTAGATAACTCTTAACATAGAAAGTTTTTGAGCAAGCCTAAAGAATATTACTCAGGTCATTTTCAAATGTATTCAAGAAGATTTCTTTGGCAGGTTAGGTTGAACCATATAGGGTGGATTGTTAAATTACTTGAGCTGTGGAACAGTAAGGTCCTGAACCATAGTAGAGGGACTACAAAGAAAAGACTGAAGAGACATGTCAATGGAATAAATGAGTAACCTGTTTTACTGATTAAATATGGGGAAGTAAATGAGGACTCAAAGTGGAATGGAAATACTACTGAACATTCTTTCTTAAAAGCTTGGCAGTAGGTTCTGTGGAGAAATTATAGAAAACTTTACTTTTAAGAAGCTGTAATCAGGTTATAGAAACATGGTCAAAACTGGCAAATCCTCTTCTGCGGTCTATTTTACATTGACTCAGGGTTCTATCAGAGCAACTTTATATACTTCGGGGTTCTGGATAAGCTTTTGTGTGTGTATGCACATGACTTTTAAGCTTGCTATTAAATAAAAAACCTGTTTTGTTTCTTTAAATTGAGTTATATGGAGGAAAAAGCCTTGATTACTAATGTGGTAGACTCCTTAAATAGCAGCGTTTACTCTGTGCCAGGCATTATATTCTGAGCATGGTGGATTCAGTCCCTGTCCTGAGGAAGGTGAGAGGGAGGCAGGAAAGGAAATGATTACAGTGCAATAAGGTAAATTATGATAGGACAGCACAGGGCTCAAGAGGAACGGAGGAGAGGCACACCCAACCCAGGCTTGGAGCTAGATAAAAGTTTTCTTTGGAGGAAGTGGTCTGTGTGAGAAAGATCTATGTGAAAAGGTGAAAAAAGTTAATATGGTTGGGTTTTAGAGTAAATGCTATGGGACAACGGATGATGACAGAGAGTAAGTCAGGGCTAAAGTTTGTAATCGTCTTGTAGGCCATGTTTATTTGGACTTCATAAGAATAGTAGAATATTGGGGCTTTAAAAAAGTTAAACTTTTTATTTAGGGGAAAAAACTTCACTTAGAAGTTGAAAGATTACCGTGAACCGACATCATACCCGTATTATTTATTCACCCGTTGTTAACATTTTGCCACATTTGTGTTTTTTCTCTCTAGGAGTGTTTTGAAAGAACTCTGTAATAGTGTAGACAGTGTATTGGAGGGAGGCGAGACTGGGAACCCAGTTAAGATGCTATTTCACTAATTTATGAATTAGAAATGGAAGCCTGTGACAGAAGTGGATAGAAAAGATTAAATTTGGATACTGTTTAGGAGATAAAATTCATGTTAACTTGGATGTCTGAGGAGAGGTGGAAAAGAGAATCAAGAGTGGTACTCAGGTTTCTGGTTTGAGCAGTTGAGTGGATGGGTACGCCATTCCATTTGCAGAAAAATAAAGGAGAAATTTTGTGGGGGAATGATGGATTCAGTTATGGACAGGTTGGTTTGTGGTACCTGTGGGATATTGAAGTGGAGAGACTGCATAGAATAAAAGTTACTAGCATGAGATCTGGAGGCAGGTTCCTTGGGTTAGCATTACCAGCCATGCAACCTTGGCCAAATCGTGAGGCTTTTTTTTTTTTTTTTCTTCTATGCCTCTGATTTTTCTTATGTAACTTGTGCATCATCTTGTGATTTTTCTTCAGTAAACTCAGCAATGTGACTAGAGAATGGGTATCCTGGATTTTTTCCTAGTTTGAGGTTTTGCCAGGGAGCTATATTCAGAGAACGATGGGGCAAAGGAATTTTGAGTATTGCATAGAGATTGATTAAACTGATGGACCATGTTGTTTAGGGAAAAAAATAAAAGCAGAAAGGTGCTAATACAAAGGAAAATAGTCAAAGATCAATGTAGAATAATGATATAGTGCGAGTAATCAAGAGTGCCATAAAAAGTTATGTTCAGGATGTTTTAATCAAATTGCCAGAATACTTCTAGTGATGGCAGGGTACGGAATGTTGCTGTGGGAGTTGGTCCTGGAAGTGGGAGAATGAAACGCCAGGAATGTAAGTAACTGAGGCGAGAGCTTGAGGGGAGACGTCTGTCGGGAAATTGGTATTATCTAAGACAATGGTAAGATTTTGGATGGAGATTACTGTGTAAATGATTGTTTGTACCCAAAGCAGATTTTTTCATGTTTTTGCAGGAAAAAAAAAGTTAGAATAAAAGAAGTATATATAAAAAAAAAAAAAATCACTGAATTGTTAAAAAGATAGAAAGTGTATGTAACAGAAGTGGACGAGCTTAATTTAAATTCTTAGATTCTTTAATCAGTGTATCCTTTTTTTTTTTTTTCCTTAGAATTACTACTGTGTAAGGCCCAGTATCCCAGATTCAAGACTCAAAATAATTTGGTTTGGGGATTAAGAAAATTAGTGATAGAGTAACAATTTTAATAAAAATTAGAAATGATAATTATTCAGGGCATATTATACTATGTTTTAAAATTAAATACATTATCTCATTAAATAAAAATGGTATTTAAAAATTTTCACTCCCATGTTTGAATCGAATTGCTTTTCTGTACTATTAAGTATGAGGGATATAAGAGTAGTCAGTGGGGAAATTGATGTCATTTTGGATTGGATTCTGTTACTTGCTTATTGTGTGGACTTTAGTCAAATACTTAAATACTTTTGCAACAGTAATTCCAAGTATATTTTGAACTGTAGTTGGTTCAGTCAACTCATTTTGTTGTGGTTTGGGGGTAGAAATAATAGATAAAGAGTGTAAATAGTCTCCAAAGTTAAGTCGGTTGATGTAATTTATCTTGATAAACCTTTCTTTTTAATTATTCTCTTTAAAGAAGTTGTTTAATGCATAGAAAAATGAGATAATATTGCTTTGTGGAGGCACTGATGCACCTTGAAATTATTAGGAACATTGCAGGGAGAAGGAAGAGAGAAAAAACTGGATAAGCACCTGTTCTCTGAACTATTGGATGTTGTCTTTGTTCCTGGGGTGTTTTTCTGTGTTTTCCTCTGGTTAAATATTTAATAGAAAAAAAATTATTTATTTAAAGTTTGTGTTTAAATTAAAAACTATCTGTGATAACTTTAAATCACATGAGTGATTTTCCTAAACATCTAAAGCCAGTCTTATTGGAAAATACCTTTCAGAACCTTGGCAAGCCCGTGTAGAACCATAGGGCTTCCTGAAATGGTTAATGTTGCGTCCGAACTTTATCCTTTTTTCCCCTCCCCAAATGAAGGCATGGAATAATTATATTGAGATCAACTTAGTGCCTGTCTTTTAATTACAAGGTTGTCATAGATGGTTGACTTCTTTGGGCTTTTTGAAGGCCTCTTCTTAGTACAACTATAAAATCAAAACAAAAATTTAAATACAAAGCTGTAGAACTTATATATTTTCATAAAATGAATTTAGTGTGATTTTTTTTTTTTTAAACCATCAATCACAATATGAATATAAAGCTGACTTCTTTCAGGGTGTTTTGACATTCCCATACTCCAGTTTTTCCAGCATCTTTCTTTGTTCTGTGTGTTAGGAAACCTTTCTATATTTGTTGGGATATCATTTGACCCTCATGCATCAATTGCATGTTAGATTTCTTGTTTTAATTAGCCCAAAAGTAATTCTAGTACCAATATGATCTCTGAAATCAAGTGATAGTACTTGATATACATGATCATCGAATGATAGAAAATATGCTCATTTTGCATGTTTCTAGATTAAAATGCAAATGAAAACTATATATAATCAAAGAGGATTTGAGGACCCTTAAGAATATGTCCTTGGTTTGAAAAACACTATCATAGCATAATTTTGTCCTCACTTTTCATGATAACAGTGTTATAGTGATGAGGCATTTAACAGCATGAAGTATTGGGAGCCTGAACATATACTTTACAGGTTTAGGTTTTATTTACTTTTTTAAAAAATTATTTTACTCTTCCCAGTTTAGGGGAGTGGCCATACTCAATTTCTTTTGAAATAGGCTATGTTTTCCTTAATATCCAGATTTGCCTTTTTCTCTGATCTTCAGAAAATCTTCATTTTAAAAGTGTTTTTAATTATAGTGCAATACACATACATAGTAAGGAAATACAGCATATAGAGTGATATACTTCATCCCTAGTTCTGCTTCCCGCAGTTAATCACTTTAACTTGTTCTGACAGTTTCTCCCTCTCACCAATATATGTGCACTGTACTTGTTTCTTGCTGTTGGTTTCAGTACCTGTCAACTCCTGATATGATGAATTTGACTCAGTGAGAAGTATTTGAGGTATTCGTGTAGTCCTAAATTTGTTAATAATTTAGGGATCCAGGACTATGAGTATCTAAAGCTTACTTGATTTGTGTATAGTCTAAATGCAGAAGCTAGCAATGACTTGTTCAAGAGAAGGAAATGTGAAAAAACAAAAGAGCAATAAACTTAGATGAAGTGAAGATTTGAGAAATTTCATATAAAATACATAGTTGATTTAAATAGGTCTCTTTCTGTATAGTGCACAAGCAATATTAAGGGAGAAAGTAACTTCCTTAACACTATGTATACTCTTCAGTCATTGTCCATTTTTGCTGCCTCAAGGTGAAGATGTGGAAAAAGTTTTGGATGAATGGAAGGAATATAAAATGGGAGTACCAACATATGGTGCAATTATTCTTGATGAGACACTTGAAAATGTGAGTGTAATGAAGTGAAAGATTCTTAATGAAATAGTGATCAACTGTTTTCATCCTGTTACTAAAATGTGTTATTTCTATAATGTTTAGGATTGAGATTCTAAAATACATAGATTTTTAGTGCTAAAAGGCCAAACTTTGCATATTTTGTCTGCATTCTGTGTCTTAATATTATACTTACTGCTGTATGGCTTATTACAAGGAAGTGTTACTTCATTGTTGAAGAAATACATTAAAATAGATGGAATGCCTTCTTCACACTCATGTGTTCAGAACAATAGAAGATATTTAAACCAAGTACTGTATAAAATTGGTGATAACAGTTACCTGAAGTAAGGAGAAAAACACCTTTGACTTTAGAAAGGAGTATGGGAAAGGAGAGCAAGTTACTTATTTTAATCTTTGCTTGTTTTGTAGGTTCTACTGGTTCAGGGGTACCTAGCGAAATCAGGCTGGGGATTTCCAAAAGGAAAAGTAAATAAAGAAGAAGCTCCTCATGACTGTGCTGCTAGAGAGGTAAATTATTACAGTTTGAAGCATAGCAACAGCCATAGAGACTTGTTTGGACCATCTTACCCTCTTTCCAGAACTTGACTGCATGAAATAACTTTTATAATATAACTGTCGATTGTTTTGCTCACATGTCTCTATCATTTTATTCTTTGTTTCCTTTTTCTTTCATTGTCCATTTTTTATTCCATTATCTCTTTAATTCTCTTTTTATTCATCCATCCATCCACCTACCTACCTTTTCTTTTAAAATTGGTTTTGCAGTTGGTAAAACATTTGGGCTGTTATAACTCTTGTTTTATGTTCATAGATAGACTTGGCTGTCAAACAGATGCACAATTTGGGCTTTTATAAAAATTTTCATTTGTTGCTCAAAACCCACTCTAGCTTCCCACTACCTATAGGATAAGGTTTAATTCTTTATGTATTGAAACCCTATCTCCAACACAAAACTAAGCCATTCTTTGTCCCCTGAATTTGATTGGCTCGTTTCAGCTTTTAAACTTTTGCTTATATTTTTTTCCTACCTGGAAAGTCTTCTCCCTGACTTTTCAAATTCTATTTAGGTACCTTTCTAGATCCAGCTCAGATTATCCTTTTTTTCCTGAAGGACTGCCACCAACTAGCTCTTTGTATAGGACCTGAGTTTTTTATTTGTAAAATGAGGTTTAGGGTGGATAATTTCTAAAGTTCATTCTTAAAATGCTGTTTATTTTTAAATGTAACCAGTCAGCTCTAGCCCATAATTGTCTCTGAACTTTAATAGCAGTTGTTTTTATCATTTGCTTGGGATTAATTATATAGTACCTAGTGATGGATTGTGTACTGTATTCATATTATTAGTTCCTTATTATTTATCATCATCATCATCATTAACTTTTGACTGACTGTTTTCCAGCAGTGTTCACTACCTCATTTAATTTTGCGTATAATTACTAGTGGGGGATAATAGTTAAAATTCCTATAAACCACTAATGGTTATTTACTATATAAAAACTGTTGGTGGTTATTTCCTTTGGAGGAGGATTTAAAAAACAATTGAAAATCCTGATTTAAATTTAGTATGGAGTATCTTACCTAAGTATTTGTAACAAATTATAGACAAGCCATTACATACAAGTAGGTAAAAGTTTATGCACACCCCTTAAACTTGAAAGCTGTTTAGGGAGCGGATGAGGGATTGCCACAGCCTCTAAGAGGTTTCCCTTTCCTTTCTGTAGATGTGTGTGTGATGTGCCATTGAGTTAGCTCTGACTCCTGGTGACTATGAATGAGTGACATCCACAGTGTCCTGTCCTCAGCAGCCCTGCTCAGCTCCTGCAGACTCATGTCTATGGCTTCATTCATGGAGTCAATCCATGTCAGATTTGCTCTTTTTCTTTTCCTGCTGCCTTCTATTTTTCTCAGCATTATTGTCTTTTCCAAAGAACTCTGCCTTCTCATAATGTGCCCAAAGTAGGATAGCTTCAGTTTTGTCATTTTTGCCTCTAGCAGTGTTTCAGGCTTAATTTACTCTGGGACCCGCTTGTTCATCTTTCTGGTGGTTGAAGGTATCCATGGAGCTCTATTCCAACACCATATTTCAAATGAATCATTCTTTTTTTCCCTATCAACCTTCTTCAGTGTCTGACTTTTACATCTTTTCTGTAGATGTGTGTGTGATGTGCCATTGAGTTAGCTCTGACTCCTGGTGACTATGAATGAGTGACATCCACAGTGTCCTGTCCTCAGCAGCCCTGCTCTACCCTTGTAGACTCATGCCTGTGGCTTCTTTCATGGAGTCGATCCATCTCATGTTTGGTCTTCCTCTTTTCCTGTTCCTTTCTAGTTTTCCTAGCATTATTGGCTTTTACAAAGAACCCTGCCTTTTCATGATGGCAGGAGACAAAATGGAGCATTCTTAAGTCTTCCCTTTTATGTCCTCCAACTTTGTAGTCCTCTTACTTCTAAGGAAGAACAAAATAAGACCTGTAGCATCCTACCTAGAGGAGTTTATCTGTAGTCCAGTACATGGAGTTAGACTAGTCCTACAGCAGTGAGATAGTTGACCAGGTCCAGAAAAGACACTACATTAAACTGGTAGAACAAATTAGGCTAAATAGGGTGAGATCAGGTGTCTTTTTAATTGGGTTTTCTTGGGGGGACTTGGAGGAAATCAAATACCTAAACTTGCAAACTGAAGTACCACATACCCAAGGGGTTTACCTGCATCTACCACTAGAATCCTCCATCTGACAAGTGTTATACACTATATTGTGAAGAGTCAGGATAATGCAGAAATAGTATATTTCAGGTGAGTGAGAAAGAGGCAGTTAATCTGTGCACTAAGGCATCCAGATTTCACTTTGGTTTATCTTGTTTGTTCTCTGCTCTGGGATGCTAAGGTGAAAGGTTGTCCTGTCCATGTGGTACTAGTTTTGGTAATACCTATAGAGTACCACACGTAAATAAAATTTATTTTTAGGGCATGGGGAGTGGGCGAATGGAGTGTGGATGATAGGCTCTAAAGAGGGTCTTGGGAGGGATACAACTAGTATGGGAGGCTATTACCTCCATTTTACAGGTGAAGAACTGAAATAGCGGTTTAGTAATATGCCTAATAGACTTCTCTAAGTTAGTAAGCAGCAGAATGGGGCTGTAAACCCTGGTAGTTGGGCTCTGGAGTCCATGTTCTTGACTACTATGATTCAGGCAGTCAAGGAATATTTATAAAGGGGTAAGTATTTCTAAAACACACATACACAGATGAAAACAAGGAATTTGTAATTTTTAAAGTATTTCTATTTTCTAATAAAATTTACTTTTCTACTTTGGATCAATATGAAAATTTTTGTTTGTTTGTTTTAGAGTTTTTGACTTGCTCTGAGGAAAGCACAGGCATTTTGAGGAACCATACTCCCTTAATTTCAGGAGAAAATTATTTCCTTTTAATAATATGAATTGCTCCAAACTTCTAACCTTTCTGATCTAAATATCATCCTCTTTTAGCTGGTAAAGGACTTTGTCAGAAAAGGTTAACTCTAATTTCTATAAATTTTTGGATTAAAAATTTTAAAGGCAAGGCTTTGATTTTTATTCCTGATTTATAAATGACGACCTTTGTCTTAGAAGTGTTGCTGTATTAGTTACTCAGGCTGCCATAACAAAATGCCACAGACTGGGTGATTAACAACAGAAATTAATTTCTCACTGTTCTGGAGTCTACAAAGTCCAAGATCAAGGTGCCTGCTGATTTAGCTCCTAGTGAGGTTTCTCATTCTGGCTTGCAGATGGCAGTCTTCTCTCGTGTGCTCATGTGGCCTTTCCTGAGTGCCTATGTGAGCGCACTAGCGGCTCTTCCTGTTACAAAGGCACTAGCCCTGTTGGATTAGAGTCCCACCCTTATGGCTTCATTTAACCTTTATCACGTCTTCACAGGCCCTGTCTTCAAATACAGTCACATTGGGGGTTAGGACTTCAACATCTGAATTTTAGAGGGACACAATTCAGTGCGTAGCAGTTGCCTGGTGTTTTTTTGAGTGATGAAAGTAGTCATTCAACTAGTTCTAGAGTTGCAGTATGTCGTTCTGCCACATGGTGGTGCTGCAGTGTAATAGAAGCTGCACTGAGGGAGAGGGAGAACCACTAGTGTTGTCTCAGTTGAAAACTAGATTGTTATTCCATTCTTTATAGGAGTTTATGTTAATATCACATTGTTCCTTTTAATTTTCACCTTATTAACATATAAGAAGCTTTGTCCTAATTTGTTAGACTTAAGTTGCTAATATTTTAATTTAGTCATTATTACATTTTATTTTGGTTTATTATAGTTATTTTAATGTTATTATTTCTCTCTATATGGCTGTCCAGAGGTGTTTTGTTATGCTATAGCAGAATTTGACACACAAGGACTGTGTATGTGGGCTGAGCTGAAAGAAGCGGTGGCAAGCAGGCTTCTCAGGAAGAAGGATTGAATAATTGTTGATAGAAAGCTAAAGACCATCTTAGTTCGTAATTTCCAGTCTTCCCTTTGATCTTTTTGGTTCACCTTTGTTAATTGGGTTATTTCTGATCACTTATTCAATGAAGCAGATTTAGGACAAAAATGAAAAAACATTTTCTAGATATTATTGAAAGGATATGTTAGGATAACCTTAGTGTATTTGTTGTCAGTTGTGAAACAACTATTTTTGAGACAAGCAAATGATACTTGGCAATTCACTTGTAGTTTCACAATTTCATATAGTTTATTATTTGGCAAAACAATATTATTTTATTGTAATGAAACCAACTATGTGTTTATATGATTTTACCTTTGTAGAATTTGTACAGAAGAACTATCGGTTGGCTTATTCCACCTCTTCTCGTAGGCTTAAAGGACATAGAGGATTTCATCATCTGTCTATGCTGGTGTTCTTTGGGTAGCACAATTTTTAATATTAGGAATTTTTATCTGATAGCATTTGAAAAGTTAATGCTAGTGCATTAACTATGTATTACAATTATTAACATTAACTTACAGTACAGGAATGGATTTGATTCACAGGTGTGATATTAAAATTTTTATCTTTGATGTCTACATGTAAGATTGAAATTTTTTCCTAGTAACTATTTGATGAGAGTGAATACCTAATTTTAGAGGCAAATTAGTCTTTATCTAAACTTTTCAAATCAAAAGATTACGTCTGTTACTTTATTATATTCATTCTCAGTTCGGTTGTACAGGGTTTAAAGCTTCTCGTGTTAGCACTGATGGCCCTTTTCATTTTGCCTCATATTGTACCTCTTCCGCCCATATAATTTTTCAGTTGTAGCCATTCTCAGCTATTTAAAGGGAATGATTATTTCTTCTTACCTATCTGGCAAACTCTTCTTCATCTTTTAAGTCCTAGCTCAAGTATATCCAGCAGAATAGGAATGCTCTCCATGCCAGCCTTCCAGAGGTGACCACTCCAGCTCACAATTCTCATCTCACCTTTACCCAGGGCTGAGTTAGGCATCCTGATTCTGTACTCCCACAGCACCCT